CACCTAGTGTGAGGTCTGGGGGCAGTGGCTACGAGGCGGGGTCTGGTGGTGTGAGCTGCCCTGTTTGCTACTGCTGTTCACACTCTGGGAATAGGGAGGCAGCTCGAGGGAGACAGCAAGAGAGTGTAATTTTGAACCACTGCTGATCTCCAGGCCAATTATTTTACTTGGACTCATCCTGCTTCTCTGCTCCTAAAAGCGATGGCACAAGCTGCTGGGACACACACACACACACACACACACTCACACACACACACACACCCACACACACACACACACACAGACACAGTGTGAGGTTTGTGGGATTAGGCCTACAAAGCTAGACACATGGACGCATGCACACACACACACACACATTTAAACTTTAGCTATTGAAATGGGTATTAACTTGCTCTAACAACTCTACAAATTTGAATATTATTGCTGATAACTGAGGATGACGCTAGCAGGCCCCACTTACAGCACTTGACCACAGTTATGTTAGGTTCCAACTTAAACTTCATGAAACAGAGAGATGGAAAAATGAAGGCAACAGACAAGTCTAATAGCTGGCTTTTTTGTGTTTCTGTTGGTGTGTTTGTGTTGAGTCAGCCAACTCTTAATGATTAACAGTATGTGCTGTTAGCTTTCAGCGCACATGCAAAGTGCTCCATGTATAAGCTCAGCAGCTGCCAGACTACCAGATGCAAGACTGGAACACACCACCCCCCCCCACCCCCCCCCCCCCCCCCCCCCCCCCCCTCCCACCACCCCCCCCACTTACCTACCTTCTGTCCAACCTGGCGTCACACACTGTCACTCATATAAAAACTGGCACCGCTGCAGCTGCTTTGCATGCTTTTCTCCAAACACAAAGGACAGCATTTATGGATAGCCAAGAAAGTCGATCTCAGCAGCTTTGGGTAACAACTTTACCTAAACTATAAGAGGTAAAAACAGTAAAAAAAAAAAAAGGATGGGAAGAAGGAAGCACATAGCTGTTTCACTCTGTCCAGGTTGTCATGGTAACAGTTGCCTTACAGTTGAATACCCACCTGTACAAAGAAGCTTTGTAGTGGCTGATACCTCACTTTTTGGGTGTGGTGGTGATGATGACGATAATGTGCACCACGTTCTGTCTATGTATTTCCTACTAGATAGAACGAGCAGTACCGTTTTTAGTTCGATTGTTATTGCACTTGTTGACTTTGTATTGTCACGACAGGGAGAAATAAAGTTTTATCTTTTCCAGTGTGTTTAAATGCCTTTGTGTCAAGTGCTATTTTGGGGGTGGGGGGAGCTGGTTTATTTTAATAACCTTGGAAGCAGTGGTTCTCAAACTGTGGGTGTGCACCAGCTGTGGAAGAGAGAGCCACTGATGGTGGGGCTCAGAGAACCAGGAGAAAAATGTGAAGTGAAATTAAGCTGAATGAATATGTTTAATGAATGAAGATATGGGAAACACACACACTTGTTTTCATATCTTATTGAGGACATCTAATTGACATAATGCTTGCTCTAGCCTACCATCAAAAATGAATGCGTAATCCTAACCCTTAGGCTAAAGCTAACCATAACCTAATTGTAACCCTGAGAGGAAAAACAACACTTTGAGTCTCAAAAGTGCCTTCAAACACATGGGGACAGGAATTTTTTCCCCATAAGTATAGTAGCATTCCAGTTTTTGGTCCTCACAAAGCTGTATAAACATGAACACACACACACACACACACCAACAGAGGCCATTTCATTAGGTATACCTCGCTTAAAAAAAAAAGGCCTATCTTTTGTCTTTTGATCTACCTGGAAAATAATCCTCATATTGGATACTGGTCCATGTTGACATAGTCTGTCATGATGTGAGATCCATGATGTGAATCTCCTTCTGTTAGCCTGAGAGCTCATGACTGTGGAGGATGATTGAACTCATTGTCATGTTCAAGAAGAGTGAGATGACTAGAACTTTGGGACATGGTGCATTATCCTTTCCATAAAAAGACGGGTGCACTTAGTTCATAAAGCGATGGACATGATCAGCAGCAATAATCAGGTAGGCTGTGGTGTCTAAATGATGCTCAGTTGATACTAAGCTGTCCCCTACACCATACAACCACCACCAGTCTGAAGCATTGACACAAGGTAGGATTGATCCATGTTTTCATGTTCCTCACACCAAATTCTGACGATACCATTTGGAAGTCTTTGTCTTTTGGGTTTTTTTGTTGTTCTTTTGGGTTTTTTGGCTCAGTGGGTTAATCCATACAAAGTTTTGAGAAGCACTGCGGGATCGGGAGCCCCTATGTAAGCCTGAAGAAAAGGCTATCAGAAATTTTGTCTGAATATGTCAATAGAAATGCTGTGGAGTTTGTGTTTCTTTTTAAATTCATTTAACCTTCTCTTAGTCACTAGATAATTTGTTTTAATTTCCCTATCTTCTGGACTCACATTTAATAACTTATCCATTTTCTATTTTTCCTCACCACATTTCAATTTTCTGGCAACCCTGCCTTCTGCCAGCTGCACTGACAACTGTTGTTAGCATACTTTATTCAAGCTGGCTAGATAGTTAGTTATGATTAGCTCCATCATCCACACACTGAAATGAAAATGAAAGAATAGAAAAAAAGAGGAGAGGTTTTATATATGCATTAGCTAATAATTTAGACTTACATAAGCTAATGGATTGGAAAATGTTGTGACTAGACAAAGTCTGGGGAACAAACAAAAAAAACTTCTGTCTCTTAAAAAAGGTGATTGGAGGGTTTTTTTGTTTTGTTTTTTTCACTGATAACCTTTTACCATCTTTTTCAACTTTTGGGTTTCATAATCTTAGGATGAACTTTTTTTTAACAGCCAGTCAATAAACTATGACATGATGCATTCAGCCTTAAGGCAGTGACCTTTTCAAGCTACTGGAGTCACACCCACACCTGGTCGACGGGGAAACATCATTAAAGGAATGAGCTGATGGTGAAAAACTAAGGCAAAGACAGGCAGAGACAGACAATGTCAGGGCTCAGCACCCCACTTCAAATCAGACACCTGCTGCTCCTTGCCTTTAACAATGACCCCAGCAACCAGGAAGTTTGTTATCACATTGTCAAGGTCCCTTTGAGCTCTCCTAATAAGGTCTGACTTGTACTTCTGTACCAACTCTAATGCACCTCTGCCAATCATCCTGCAACATTCAGCTCTTGAGACCATTTCATACTGTCACCTTTTCTTCACTCGATCCATCTATGTCCTCTGCCTTCCTGTATGCCAGTAACCAACAATCTTCCCATCTGCACATATTAAACCAATTGCTAGCATCCATCACCATTTAAAAGCCATTGTCTGGATTTCCACATCCTGCTGTTATTGAGGAGCCCGAGATACATCCTGCCAACATTTATCTATTAAAACTACATTAGATCTGCACTCTCCAATGCCCTATCTGCTCACACCGGATCTTCTGTAATGCTGCCCCATATTAGGATCCATCTGTAGCAGATATTAATGTGACTATTAATGGTATCATAGCTTTCATGAGCACTCATGTTATACTAGAAACGGCACCAAACTACTGTAACAGAGGACCTTACAGCAACAGAATGAAGTATGAGTTGGATTTATTTGTGTATAGTACGATTCTGTAATTGTTTTCAATTAAAGCAATAAATGAAAACCAATTACATTTTCTCCCTTTATTGAATATCATTGTTTAGTCAAATAAGATACAAATAAAACTATTCATATTGTTATGAGGTGATATTAACTTCTTTTTTTCACAGAATGTGATGTTGAAATGATCGTGCTTTTTGTAGAAGTGATGCTTGGGAATGTTCACCTGGTTTACTGAGCAGAAAAACTATGTTATGTTTAGAAGTAAGGCAGCGCGCACAGGCATACAGAATCTGGTCACATTTCAAAATAAGAGACCGAGTGCAGGCTAAATGTTACATCTTTGAAATGCTACCGCTGTGATTTGAAGGTCTGCAAAGGACAAGCCAACCCCTAGCTGGAAAATGAAATGTCACAGACATGCACTGGTGTACATCCATCCATCTCTAAAAGCTCATTTTTTCCAGATTTTTGGTGAATCTACTGTATAATGTTTCCTCAGAGATAGATGCTGACCGATAGCCATGACGTATAGAAAGAGAGCCATTTAATCGAGATATCCTAGACTAAATTGAGACTAAATTGTAACTATGGAGTAATGAGGCTAATCCCTTTTGACTAGCACGTACTCAGTCTTCTGCATTAGTAGCAGTCAAGTTCAGATTTTTATTTGATTTTAAAGGGTTTTTTTTTATTATTATTTGACAACCGGTGGTTTTTTATGTTATTTTGCTATGTTTTAAATGATGTCACTAAATGAGATCTCACCCAGTGACCCTGCACAGAACATGTTCATTATGTTTACAAATACACATCTATTTGGATTACCTCACCACTCTTGGAAGGCATACAGCAATGTTAACATAGCTATGAAATCAGAAGTGACAGTAATTAAGTGAATCCACCCAAAACTGACATGGCTAAACCTAAACACCAGTACCAACAAGATCTGCAGCAGCAATGTAAGACACTTGATGATGTCAATAGCAGTACACATTGATAGTAAGAGCGATGATAC